CCCACATATATATATATATATATATATATATATATATGTATCTTTTACTATATCTTTTAATGGAGAAAATTCTATTTGACAAGTATTGAACACAATTACATATATCAATTAGTTTATAAAAAATAAGTTATAAATTTTTATAATAAACTTGTGTATCAATCATATTTATTTTGATAAAATTAAGTTATAAAATAATAAAAAATTTACAATCTTTTCAAATATTTTGTTAAATAAACTCAAAGTTTACGATAGTTGAGCTATGCATAGTCTTGTGTGTATATATACATGAAACTTGAGATTATCAGACTAGACAATCAATATTGTAGAAGATTGTTGAGTGAATTAAATTAAATTTATTGAAAAAGTAAGAAATTTTGAATAGCTATTTGGAACATATTTGACTTCATTATTACTTTTTTTTTTTGTTTTAAAAACCATTTTTTAATTAATTTTTCATTCAAAATCTATAAAATTTTAAAAGTTATTTCCAAAGTAATATTTTTTTTTTGGCTAAGATAGTTTTCTCATTCTCTTTTATTTTCAGCAAAGATTCTTCTTTAAGTGTTTGGGGTTGATTTATTAACGATATCATTTTCAAAGAGTCACCTCTTATTAGTATATTTAAGAAAACGTTGAATTGCTTTTCAAAATGGTAATCAAACAAAGTCTTAATTTTGAACAAAAATAATTTTAAAAAATATTTTTACCTGTTTTCATTTTCTATTTCTATTTATTTATATTTTTTTTAAGAAAAATTACATTCTATAAGATTTAAGACAATGCACTTAGCTATTCTAAGATGAATGTGTAATGTGAAAAGTTAAGGATGCATCTACCATTTATTTCAATTAAAGTATCATGTAATCTAAGTTGATGGATGTTTCCCACCATGATTACTAAAAAATATCATAACATCTTAATTAACTTCAATCAATAGTAGAAGTAGATGCCTCTTACATTTTCACTTGAAAAGAGTCAAACCGACATATTATATAAATAAATCCTTACCAAATTTGACCATGAAAACATCTATAGCATTTATTTGAAAATGTCATTCATTTAAGGAAAATTGTACTCAATTCCCCTTAAATCTCTTAATATAATTCACACCCATCTAAATTTTAAGTAAATATTAAACTCCTTATTTATTTATGTAAATAATACACTCCAGGATAAAATAACACTATTAAGATAAAAACAAATTATTAATACAAATATCATGAATAAAACTCTTATTCAATTCCAACTCAAATTATAAAAGCGTGTGCTTTGTATTTCTTTTTCACATCACACAATACATTGTAATCATATTCTCCTCTCGGTCTCTTCACACAACACCACCCTTACTGTAATCATTCAAAATAAAATTGTACAACATATCACAACCCTTAACCATACTTAGAAAGTATAAGTGTATATCCACCCACGCACTAATATCTTCCTCTCTTTTTTTCTTTTCGTTTACTTAGTTCATTGTTTGATGGAAAGCATTCTGTTGTTTCAACTTTTTTCTCCCATATCAACCAAAAAGGATCTTCTTTATTTTTTACTATTACATGTGTGACAGCTTTATCATAGTTAACATTTTAACCTGTAAGTGTTACAAAAGATTATAGAAGTCCAAATGTTTTAATAAAGAAAACACGGTCAAAAAATAAAAGATGGAGATTAGCAGAATCTGAACCAACTTTTATTTTTTCTCCTTCTCTTCTTAGCTAACGGTGTTATATATCTTAAAAGAGGTGAGTGATTTTTTAAAAAACTAAGGGAGAGGTATGTGCCATTTAGAAAGATCTCAAGGGAGGTGAGTGCAATTTTCTCCTTATTTAAATCCCTTCACAATACTACCTTTTACAGCGATTATCCTATCTCCTTGAAGGGATCTACCACATAACACTATATAGTATATAAAGCTGAAAAGAACATTAAACATCATTAGACAATTACCAAAACAATGGGGGAAATGGTGAACAAGACAAAATGATGCAAAGACAACTCTTATAATGATCATCTGAATATCTCTTCTGAGAATTGTGGGAAATAACCTAAACACAAGTATTCAAGTTACAGTTTCACATTTAAAGAATTGAAGTGTCGCGCTTCTTGTTGCACTTCTTGTTGCTATTTGAAATGAGATATGTTAGCAACACACTAACTAACAAATACTTTTGTACACACTTTCTACTAAATGCTGAAATCGAAATTTATTATAAATAATAAAATTTTGTGAGTCCCATTACTTATCTAATGAGTCTCAATCATGATTTTGTAACTTCTAAACAATAATAGATAGTGTGTTAAAAAGAATATGTCCCAATGAGTGTGTTGCTGACATTCTTCATTCGAATATACCTGGTATTGACACATGAAAATGATACATCAAAGACAAAGATACAACTTAAATCAGGTAGCACTAGCCTTTATTGGTGTTGTACGAGGTGCCAGTACGTTAAGAGAAAGGTTGACACCTCCCCCTCGAACCGAAATATTAGTAAACTTGGCAGAGCTTGCCCTACTCACATGATTTGAGTCAATAAACACAACAATCACAGTAGTATCATCATGGAAATGCCGACGAACGCTGCGGTCAATTTTCTTTAGATCTGAATATCTCATTTCTCTCTTCTTTGCTGCTTCTTGAAGGGCAGCTTTCACTAGCCTCCTTGCAATACCCTGAGAAAATGATAGAGGTAAATCATAAATCTGTTTTGTATCGTGCTAGCTACTTGACATGCTTCAGAACTTTCACCATCTAAAATTCCCAACTAAATAGCTTTAAGTTGTTTCCAAGACAAATATAAATCTAGATAGGATTTTATGTGCCAGGTCGTGAAGTGATTATCTAACAGATTTGGTGTGGCTTCAAGACCGATGTACTAAAAGCACTCAATATAAGCAAATGGCTCTATACGATAAGTGAAGGTTGGTTATTTTGCAAGAGTTATCCAAGTCAAGAGTTGGTGGGGCTCCTACACAGGAAAGAAATTATAGAAACCAGTTAAGAATCTTTTTAGATACAAGCTTAGAAGGATTTTAGAGAACTCTACAAAAAATAAAAAATTTATTTCAAGAGAAAAACTCTCAAAAACACTTTTAACTTCTATCCAAATAGGCTCTGCACAGGGCTTCATGATTCAAGATCGAGCATAACAATGTTGAGGTAGAATCCATGCAGCAGACTCCACTTACTGGAAATGAAACTTGGTTAATGTTTCTATTGATCCCTAAAGACTGTCATTTCATCCATACATCCAAAAATAGTGAAATACCCACCCCCCCCCCCCCCCAC